CAAAGGATAGAACAACCGCCTGAGAAACAATAACAAAGATTGATTTGGCTGATTTTGACGAAATAAGAATAACACGATTATTATCATTTGTCATTGCCAGTTGATAACACTTTATGTGCTACACGTAAAATTTGTATTGGGATACAATAAAAACAAACAAATGGAATTTATTATGTAAAAAGACAGATGCTATTGGTGAATGTAACCCTTTATATTGAGACAAAACTCAGGTCCTTTATCAGAAATTGGTCTGTCGGCAGACTGCCGCAGCGGTATTATCTGACTACAACTGAGATAATTCAATGAGAGAAGGCACAATTTGCGTAAACTTTCCAGAAAAAAATCATACAAACTTAGATACTATCTTATCTTTTGAATTTTGGTAAGATCGCGTAAGATAAATTATCTGATTCTGTCGGCTGATGGCGTGATCAACCAACTCCTTTAAATAGCATTTGCTCAATGGTTTTCAATCCAGTTGATAAATACCTGTGGGCTATGTAATCTGGTTGATAAGTTACAATCGAGAAAAGAGAAATACAGATTTTAGTTGAAGAAAACATTTGGTTATCAGTCACCCTCAATCCACGATTGTATAATCATTGGACATATTTTAATGGCTGTTATCATCAATTAAGAGAATGGTGTCGATTTTGAGTTTAATCTTAGTGCTGGTAGTTCAATCTATGCAGTTGGTGCATGGTGGATACAAAATTAGTGAATTTAAATATGAACTCTTCGGACGGGATCGGCTCGCTTCCTTCCGAGCATTCGAAAGTCAAAATCTCGACGAAAACTTTTTCCTCAGTGATTATACGAAAGCTCCTCGCCATTATAACACTAGCAAATGTATCGATGACCTTTTGGATATTCAAAATAATCTTCGAAATGGTGATAGGGAATCGATGATGTGTAAGATTGATTCTGGTTTTGAATAATTCAACATTTCAACTGTCCCATTTCATTCGACGAATATCCTCTCTTTTAAAATAGTGCTCGACGCATGGGGCGATGTACCGTCGGGATTGTTTGTTCATCATTCCTATGATTATGGTGCTTACGACGAGTGTTTGAATGTTCAGATCGAAACTGAAGGTGAAAATGACAAGGACGCGATTAAAGCGCAATATTGTCTAATGGATTTTAATTACATGAGGTAAGCTAGTAGTAGGGGGAAAGAACGACACAAATTAAAAGATAACATGGAAATATTGCCAATGCCTAACAAAACGTGCAAACGCGTGCAAATACGACAAACGAATGCTAGAAGATGTATGCGTATTTGCCATTCTTATTCGTGCTCAGCAAGCACTGCTCACTACGAAGGAGACGAAGCAACATGAAAACAACAATAACATAGAGGATCGCTATGCAAATGCTTGCAAATGGACGTGAATACGGCAAATACGTCAAGTCGTTCTTTCCCCCTTGAGCTAGTATTCTCCAAGAAATGAGACAAATGTCTCACGTCTAAACAGTGTTCAAATCGATCAGTCAACGTGAACTTTTTCAGTGAACCAGTCACCGTTGGAATATGTATGCCCGAGTCATGTTCGCCACAACTCTTCGAATCCATGTTGAACAAAATGGCCTATGTGAATGAGACACTCTTCAGAATACCGTACAAAAGATGTCAACTCAAAGATGATTACGCAACCTATACGACTACAGACAAAACTGCGATGTAAGTAAAAAAAAAAGAAATGGCCAGAATTTGCTCAACTCCAAAATAAATACGTTTGAATTGTTTATTTGAAGTGCGATATTCACAATGATCCTTGGTCTCATAATCGCGAGCACGATTTATGACGGCGTGTGTTTATCCAGACAAGGTGGGTTTAATCAAAGTTTGAGAAGAATTTGTAGACAATAAATGATGAATATTCACTCAAAACAAAAATCTACTTCAGTGGAGGCAAATAAGACGCTATTAGCATTCTCCGTGCACAATAACTGCAAAAAGTGGCTGACGTTTGAACAATCGACTTCCCCAGATGTTATTGGATGCATGAATGGAATTCGTGTGGTATTGAAAAATTGTTGCATGCATTTTTGTTCATTTAAACCAGTGAATATTCAATTAATCGATGTGCATTTTTGGTCAAATACTCAAATAGCTATCTAGGTTATGGAATCTTGTACTACATACGGGATATAGATATATGACAGTGCCTTCCAATCCAAATGTTGGGATTTTCGAGGTATAATTGATTTTTGTGCCCATAAAAACGAAAATTGATAGTGCTTTTTTATAGTTTATCTTCAGCGACATGCTTGTGCAGGCAGCTCCATTTTGTGTTGATATATTTTTTCTACTCAGTGGCACTCTAACCAGTTTAACGATATTGAAGCAGCTGAAACGAACGTATGTAAAACAATTACAATTACATTTTGTTATCTCACCCAAGCAATTGAGCGTGAAACTACTAGATTAGAAAAAAGTACAAACACATTTGAGGATTTCTTCTTCTTTATTTGAATACTTTTTATGATGTTTGTTTTGGTTTCAAATTTGGGAGAAAAATGTTGGAAAGTTGTTCATCGACATTCTCTCGATTTGATAAAAATTCAACTAAAGTGCTTCCGCTCAAAATGACACTTCTTAATTTGGATTTTCATCAGGAATGGCAAATTGAACGTAGCTCCACTCTATTTACATCGGATTCTGCGATTGATTCCATTGTTAGCTGGAACGATCTTGTTTATGGTTTCGTTGTTCCGGTTTTGTGGAAGCGGCCCTGCTTGGTATGTGGTTTCTTTTTCATTTAGATTTGAAACTTTATTTTGCACTCGCTCATCATTTATTATCACTGATGTATCGAAAGCTGTGAAAGATTGTGTTTTTCAAAAACCTAATATTGATCCGTGAATTTACTACAGGTACACTACAGAATCGTATCGAACCAACTGCGAGACAAATTGGTGGTCAACATTGTTACACGTTCAGAACTATTTGAATACTCACGCATCTCATCATAATATATGCATTCCGCAATCGTGGTACCTAGCCGCCGATTTTCATCTTTTTTTAATCGCTCCATTCTTCGTCTATTTGCTACGAAAGTATGAATGGAAAATGGTTCCCGTCATAGTTGTTTTGCTAGCGTGCGGTGTTGCGTTGTTGATCTTTTCATGGCCATTGGATAGCACAAATCCGTAAGAGAATTTAAATTTTTTGCCATGCATCATTTGCGAAACGTTATTCCAATGAACAATCATTGAAAAATTACGAATAAGGATGACGATACTTAAAAATTATACAAATTTCTAGCCTAGATCAAACCACTTTTGGCATACGGCTACGAGTACCCACTCACTTACGATACTCGCCATATTTGATTGGGCTCTTCCTTGGCTTTATTTTTTTCAAGAATCGCGGGAAAAAAGTGTATATATCGAGAGTAAGTTATTCACTAAATCATTGTGACTATCCGCTTGTTTTATTCATCCTGCTTTCATTTTAGATGTGGAATGCATTTGGGTGGTCAATGTCGATTATCATCATAATACTGACCATCTTTGGTCATTATCCATTTCACCAGCCGGACATTGACACGTTGCCAATTCACTTCGTACTTTTCTTATCGTTTGGTCGAATATTATGGACCGTTGCGGTTGGTTGGATAATGTTCTCATGTCATTTCGGCTATGGAGGAGCAGTCAATATGATCCTTTCGTTATCGCTCTGGAGTCCTCTCTCCAAACTTACCTACGCCATTTATATCACCCATGACTTTGTGGTAATGATGACAATGGCAAGTGGCCGTTTCCCACTATATTTCACAAGAGTTTCAATGGTAAAATCAGACAATTCAATTGCACATTGATTTGATAATAATTTTGTTCAATTTGCTTAGTTCTACTGGGTCGTTGGTAATTATGGCCTAAGCG